GCTTCCTTTATTGATTCTATCAGCCCCACTCCCGGGCAGGTTATCAATACAGCTCCGGTAACACAGTATCATTCCTCCGCGAAAATGATATACAATGCGGATTTTGAGAATTCAAATCCATTCCAGGCAGTTAGTCCCGGAGATACGCCTATTATCCGCGTAACCCATCCCGACCAGGTTTTTGAAGGGGGCGGTTCCGGCTTATTATATCTTACTGCGAGCATGGATTCCTCCATCGTTACCAACTCTGATGCATTTGACATTTCCAGCCAAACAGATGTTTATCTGGAAATCAATTATAAAAGCACTATCCCATTTACCGTCGGGCTGGTGACCATACCTTTTGGTGTTACACGCATACAATACCTGGCAGGATTTAACCCGAGATCCAGCTGGAATAAAGTGTATATAGATCTGAAAACATTTGCATCTACTTACCGCGGCGGCAACTTCAACCTGCTGATCCGGGCGGTTAAAGAATCAAGCCAGCGGGGCAAGGACGGTTATGTACTTATTGATAATGTAAAAATCGTCTCTTTCTAATTAGCAGATGCTACAGAGAAATGCTATAAAACGACGAGGTGTAAGCCAGATGATTGCGCTCGATTATGGTACAGCCATGATCGCATGGTTCCTGTTTTGGGCATATCGCTATCTGCTTCTGGGGAAAGCAACCTTTATTACCTCTTTCGGATACCTGCAATCTAAAGACCTGTTATATGGCATATTGATCGTGCCACTTTCCTGGCTCGTCCTATATCTTTTCTCCGGTACCTACTTTGATCTTTACCGGAAATCGAGGCTTTATGAGGTAAACCGCACGTTGATATCCTGTATTATGGGTAGCGTGTTTCTGGCTGTTATTGTCTTTGCCGATGATGCCACCGACTACTCCTGGTTCATCAGCATGACCGGACGTTATCTGTTGATACATACCGCCTGCACTCTTAGCGCACGGGTGTTTTTACTGAACCATTTCAAACGGAACCTTGCCAAAGGCAAAGCCGGGTTCAATACGATGATCATTGGTGGCAATGAAAAGGCTATTAATATCTACCAGCAAATACAAAGCAGCCCCGTAGCATTAGGTAATATCTTCAAAGGCTTTATCTATTCCAACCTGGAAGCGAGCAATGGCATGAGTCATTACCTGCCGCAACTGGGTACGATTGATGAACTGGAAAGTATCATAGATGAACACGAGATTGAAGAGGTGATCATTGCGGTAGACTCTTCGGAGCATCACCTGCTGACAGATATCCTTACCAGGTTTAGTTACCGCCCGGTATACGTAAAAGTACTACCAGACATCTATGATATTATTGCCGGTTCTGTAAAGACTAGCAATGTCTATGATGTAGGCCTGATACATATAGATCCGGACCTGATGCCCGACTGGCAACGTGTTTGTAAAAGAGGCATTGATATTGCCGGCTCTATGATGGCTATGCTGGTACTGATGCCTGTCTATTTGTTTGCAGCACTCCGCGTAAAACTATCTTCAAGAGGAAGCATTCTGTATCGCCAGCAACGCATCGGGCATTATGGAAAGCCCTTTTATATCTATAAGTTTCGTTCGATGTATGTAGATGCTGAGAAGAACGGCCCTGCACTGTCCAGCTCAGCCGACCCGCGTATTACCCGGTGGGGCAAGGTGATGCGTAAATGGCGCATTGATGAGCTACCTCAGTTCTTTAATATCCTGCGTGGCGATATGTCATTGGTGGGACCAAGACCGGAACGCAAACATTTTATTGATATCATCTCTGAAACCAGACCTCATTATAAATACCTGCATAAAGTAAAACCGGGCCTTACATCCTGGGGCATGGTCAAGTATGGTTATGCAGAGAATGTAGACCAGATGATACAGCGTATGCGCTATGATCTGCTCTATATTGAAAACTGTTCCCTGGCATTGGATGTAAAGATCATGCTGTACACATTGATTGTTTTATTCCAGGGACGCGGTAAATAAACGCATATCG